CCTCCTAATAATTTCTGTGTGTGTATATATATATATATATATATATATATATATATATATATATATAAAGCCTTTGGCGAGTCAACCCTCGCATTTCCCAACTAAGCCAATCCAGCGAATCCACCTAAGAAAATTCAATATGCTTTGCCAAAGAGATTGTTATAAATGATCTCTAAGAGAGAACTGGCTTCCTCTATTGATTAAAGGAGATGGTTGAAATGACGAATGTTTCTGGTTTAATCCTGAGGCCGTATTTTCTTCGTCTTTTCTACTGGCAAGCGACACGAGCAAAGATGAGAATTCACACGCGGCTACGCAGCGAAGATATTTGTCCAATCTTGAATAAGATGTAAAGCGCACATCTCGCGATCAAGAAATCATGCGCGCAAACACACACACACGCGCACACACACACACACACACACACACATGCCGACAAGCATATAATCTCCGTTCAACTTTTTCCCCAATAAATACGTACACCCGCACACATATTCACATATACAAGCTCATAACTTTGTGTAGACGCACGCCCACATGGGCAATGACACATACTTAAAGGCGACTGTCGAAGCGCACCCCTTTCTAGGACGCGCCCCCAGCTATACTTTGCCCAAGACCCGCCAAACCCGGTAAAGGGACTGGTGTTGATAGTTTGGCATGTGGGCACGGTGGAGTAATGGATAGCTGCTCAGATTGAGGAATCGGAGAGCCGAGTTCGAATTCCAGTCGGATCCATTACATTCATTTACGTGCTAATAACCTTGGGAATGGTATGAATTCTCTTCTCCCCCTCTCCCCAGGTATGGGTTAATAGCAGGACAGATTGAGTTCTCTGGCCTTAGACGGCAACTGGTGTACCGCAGAAAGAAATGCCAAACTGGAATGGAATGCATCATTCAATAGATCAATACGCCCTAATAATACATTATAGTTGTGGGATTGAGAAATTGGAGAGCAGAGTTCGAATTCCAGTCGGATCCATTACATTCACTTATGTGCTACTACCCTTGGGAAAGGTATGAATCCTCTTCTACTGCCAACTATGGATAATAGAAGGATAGACTGTGTCCTATAACCTTGGATAGCAACCGGTCTAGAAGAAAGTAAAACTCTGAATTTAAAACCGGCCTGAAGAAGTTTGGTCTCCATCAGGCTATCTCTTGCCCCTGAAACACCACTTCTCCTGTGGTGTCCCTACGACCCTTTGGGTCACGAGATAAATTTTTTTAATCAATTATTAGAGATTATAACGGCTCGGAATGAGAATTCTGTGACTAGAGTTCGAATTCTAGCGTTACATTCACTTACGCGCAAATACTCTTGGGTAATGTATGAATCCATCTTTTCCCCCGCCAGCTATGAGTTGAATAATAGGGAACACGGTCTTCTAGCCTTGATTGGCAACCAGGCTACCACAAAAAGAAATTCCAACCTACTACGGGAATATCAGTTTCTGATATATATGTTAGTTTGTATTAATATTTTTAGCGGTTATCTAAGTCTGACATCTTTTTTTTTCACTTTGTAAAATATATTACAGATTTGTAGTTTTTTAGATTTTTTTTTTTTTTTTTTGTATAAAGTTTGATTTTTTTTTTTTTTTTTTTTAGGTTAAGCATATTCTTTTGTTTAGTGTTTTTTTTTTTTCTATTGTTTGTTTGATAATATTTTGTCCAGACGCGTAACCGCTGAGGGATTCCGAATTGAACACAAATCTACGGAGATTCACTGTTCCCATTTCACTGGTTATGTCAAAGGATATTGACCCGGCAGAGATTTCTCTTTGGAGTGGAGCTGCTTCTGAATATTGTTTGGAAAATTGTTTGGTAAAATGTTTGTTACTGGTTCATAAAGTGACATTCATGATATAGTATAAATTACCAAACAGAGGTAACAAATAACGCTGACTTATGCTACTGCTACGTTAAAGAACAAACAAAAATAAACTTGACCATTGAAAGCTATGTATATAATTTAGTTTTATTATCAGTAATCTTTATTGTTAGGTTTAGCGTTGCATTTCTTGAGAAAAGTTCATAATTATAAAATTAATTACAATTATAAAATATACACTACTTGCGATTAATAAAAATTCAGTTAATTTTTTTCTTTTTTCTTTTTCTTTTTTGTTTTTGGTCTTCCATATTGTTTCGTCTGAAGAATTATTTAATAAATCTTCCCAAAACTATAGAAAATACGTTGTTTACGGATATATTTATATCTTATCTAGGAACGTGAACCCGTTGTTCCAATTTATTCACCTTTTTTTTTATAGTTATTGATGTGTTTTATAGAGGTTATTTGCATATCACAATTTAAATATTTTATTTCAGGCAGTATGTTGAAATACCTTTTTAATACACAAAATCCTGTATCACCCACCATGTTTTGTTCAATTGCTCATCACCATCCCAACAGATGAAATCACCCACTGGTGGGCGATATTCTCCATGTTCTGGTCTAAAGGATTTAGTTCAGAATTTACTGTAGGTTACGCAGTTCGATATACATCTGATGAAGTCCGGGAAATATGAAAACAATGTAAATAAGGACATCATCTCATTCCAGAAATTCAGAAAGAAATGTATACTTTTCTAAGTTTTTAAAACACTTAAATGAGATTAAATATTACAATGTATTCAGTTTGGGTAATTGCAGCTTTTCTCTTAATTTCACGTCATTATTTTTTCTTTCTCATACTCAGTCGCCGTGATTGTAAATACGTCCACGGAATCGAACTATTTCCATTCTTTCCATATTCCAATTGAAATGAGGAAGTTCAACTCTGCTTTTCCTCTAATAACTGCTACATTGTCGCCGATGTTTCCGCCATAAAGATTCAATCGTTACCTCTTTTTCATACCAGCATAATCCTTACTTCCTATTCTTACAGTCATACCACACACCTCATTCAGTAGCCCTCTACCTTGAGTAGCCCTTGAGCCTTACATTAGCCGAACACTCGTTTAAAACATGTGAATGCTTTCCACGGATTTATTTGTCTAATGTTTTCCTTCCTCATATTTATCCTTTTACTGTTTTATTTATATATATATATATATATATATATATATATATATATATATATACCACTCGTTTTCTATTGGATTCATTTCTGAAAAGTCTGAGGAGCTTTCCATTAGTTTGGTGTATTTAAAACCTTTTATAGCAAGATGGAAAATAACGATCTTTTCAGAATGTGAAGCGGCATTGTTTGGCCTGAGTATACTCGATATTTATTGCTCGAAAATACAGTAATTGTGGCACAAGGCCAAAAAAAGGGGGGAATAGGTTGAAGCTGGTCGTCACTATCTTATACCTAACTAATCCGATTCGCGACCCATTCATTCGTAATAATTTACACATCTACCATAAAAATTCGTCCGTCACCATTTAATCCTCCACACACGACATTACTGCATACATACAGAGGAACCTATAAAAACACCGCATGCCATAAACTGGCCTGAGTATACTCTTCAAGTCGATGGTTCTTAAGTGTCACCTGTACTATACAAAAATGTCTTATCCAAAAATTTAGAATACCTATCTACACTTAACAAATTTTATGGGACTAAATAATGATAATAGTACTAACAATGTTAGTACTCATAATAAGAGGAGGCACGGTGGAGTAATGGATTGAGGAATCGGAAAGCTGAGTTCGAATTTCAGTGGAATCCATTATATTCACTTACGTGCTAATACCCTTCTTCTCATAGGTAAATAGCAGGACAGACTGGGTTCTATAGCTTTGGATGGCAACTGGTCTAGAAGAAGGACAACTCTGAATTCAAACCCGGAGTGGAGCCTCTAAGGCCGATGGACGGCACTTTGTGCTACCTTCCGGCAACTCCTGCAGCCGCGCTGGTACCAAACTGTATTGGTTTATCCTCTCCTTTGGACTCTGCTAGCAAGGCAGAGAGGTGGAACTAGACGTCCGGGCAGCCCTAGTTTTCCATATATCCCGCCCAGGCTCGTAGCGCACCGCGCTACACCATCGTCTCTCGAGACGGACTGATGCCAACGACGACGACGACCCATAATAATATCGGAAATGGTTACTCTGCATCGCCGCTGTTGTCTTTAAAATTATCTTAGTTGATCCTTCTCATGAAGGACCAAACTTATCAGGTCAATTTAATCTAGCATTACATTTACTATGATAAATGGAGACACGGTGGAGTAATAGATAGCGGCTCGGGGTGAGGAATCGGAGAGCCGAGTTCAAATTCCAGTCGAATCCATTACATTCACATACGTGCTAATATCCTTGGGAAAGGTATGAATCCTCTCCTCCCCCCAGCGATGGGTAAATAGGACAGACCGGGCAACTGGTCTACCGCAGAAAGAAATGGCAACCTACTGCGTGAAATATCTGCCTCGTCAGTCATATATTGAAAGATTCATAATCGCCTAACAGTATCACGCGTGGCACATAACTGACTGATTGACTCACTGATAAATCACTTTTCATGTACTACTTCACTCATTTTTTTTTTTTTTTTACTTTATGATGTGTACTTAAAGTAGGTGCTTAATTGTATTTAACCAATATTGAACGGCCATGACAATGCCGGGATACCTGAGAGCGACCCCCAACAGATCATGCTCGAGGGGGTTGTCTATTTCTTCTGCCCTTAAGTGCCCCCGACGCTTGAAGCTGCCAAAGAACTGACGACGATGAGCCAATATTGTTAATGCTTAACTTCTTCTGTTTCTATTTTTTCTAGTTATATAAATATATTTCCAAATATTTGATGCTCAGTTACATTTTCTGCTTTAATGATTGTTTTCTTTACGGTTTATCAACCCTTTGCAGCTTATTAAAAGCAGAAAATATTTTGATATTGTAAAAATTCTTTGGGATAATAATGGTTTATTAATACAAGTTTTACTAATTAACACATAGCTTGGAAGAAGAGCTGGATTCATATCATTCCCAAGGTGTTGGTGAATATAATGGACCAAACCGGAATTGGAAGTCACATCCAAGTTTACAATACCTAGTATTTCCAAGTGGTCACCCTTCCAGGTACTGGCCAAGCTCTACGTTGCTTATCTTTGGTGATTGTATGGGAACAGGCTTTTCAACGTACGCATACTGACTGGAGTTCCTTGTAATTTTCTTTAAGATTTTTGATAGATTTCGCTTTTTGTTTTTATTTTGCAGTTTTTTTTGGGGGGGCAGGTGGGGGGTCCTTCAATTTCTTTAAAAAATTTTCTATGATTTCACCTCAAATCTCGCTTTTACCAAAATTGTTTTAATCAGTCAATAAATAGTGAGTTCAATCCCTAGCCCGGGTAGTGTGTACTTGAACTCGGTGGAAAGAGGGTGAGCAATTAATGAACAGGATCAAAAAAAAAAAAATTTAAAAAATGAGATATTACTAGACTTGGGCAGTGTCACGAGTACAGTTTACCCGCATAGAGTAAATAAAGTTCGGAATTCCCTGTAGGTTACTCGGATTAACATAGACCTGATGAAGGCGGTGGGGAGTGGCAAAATGGTCGAAACGCCGTGTTAATGACAATGATTTGGACAATAGTATATAGTGTAAATAACTCATCACAGAAATTCAGAAATATTTTAGTTTGTTTTTTAGGACCCAGGGCTGTTTATTATATTCTGAAAATTGAAAGATAATGTTCAGTATAGAAACTTTGTGCACTTAGCGAAACTCAGTGGGCAGGGAGAAATGAGGAAATTCAACTGTAATCTTCCCAAAAATATTTTTTATTATACAGGATGTCCATAAAGTTCGTGTGCTTTTTAAAAAATGTATAACTTTACTAGCAGCCTGGCCCGGGGTTGCCCGTGCTTGATTCAAAAATCGTACGTATTTTTGTCCTTCCTTGCCTTTAAAGGAGTGCCCTTTGCCGTGCTGGTGTTGCTACATACCCTACTTCTTATCTCACACTGCGAATTTTTTCTAAGCTCTATACTAAACATTAAATCTGTTACGAAAAAAGAACTAAACAAAATAAACACAAAACGATCAGCTTTATAAAAGGACTCGTAACTGGAAAAACCGAATGAAAAAAAGTTAACAACAAATACTTTTTCACACCCAACCTAGTTCTGCGGAATCAGAATCAACATTGAGTTTAAGCAAGCGAATGAGTCAATTGGAGTAAAGTGACATGCAGATTTAAATTTTTCCCACTTGTGACGAATGCAGCTATCGATTTTTACTTTTTTTTTTTTTTTTGTGCATGCTAGTTAACATTCGTGTCAGTCAGCTGTGGGCTCTCCGCTGGCCAATAGAATCTTCCTGCCTAATCGTGGCAGCCAGCTAAGGCTCTCACTCTGGCCAGTACAAAATGGTCGCAAACTACATGAAAACTGCCGTAGAAGCATGAAAAAATCGATTATTTTCACTATCAATGGGAGTTGGGAAATGCAAGGCCGGTCTTGGCCTTTCCGCTAACTTGGAGCATGTGCATGTAAATTTTGGTGCAAATCCGTCGAAAATTGCGGCCGTGCATTCGTTACACACACACACACACACACACACACACACACACACACACACACACACACCTACATCCTGCCTTAGATAGATTTATATTTGTGATAGAAATAATCATTAAAAAATGTTATAAAGTTTAATGTACCTAGTTTTAAGTATAGCTAAAATAACTAATCTGATTTCAGGCATTACTGTAAATCAGTTGGCAAATGTTTTCCGTGAACTGCAAAATCGTATTACCCTTTGTATTGCTAATGATGGAGGACATGTGAAAACTTAAATAAAATTTCAATAAAACCTTAAAAAATATAGATTTACTTCTTTCTAATACTTTTTACAAATTATTTCTATCACAAATACAAATAGTCATAAATTTTTGAAAGTGCATACGAACTTTATGGATACCCTGTATTATTTCATCTTCACAGAAAATTTATTAAAATGAGTTCCAGTTGACGCGATCTGATTGAAGGAGCGTCAAAATTTGCATGTGTGTTCGAAGAGAGATATAAAATCGAAAATAGTTAGCCAGAGGCCGTAGAAGCAGTATTTTTTCTTCCTTCGTTGCAACCGTTCATCCTCTTTCGAAGCTGACAGGACGTGTTACCGAAAATGTTAATAAGACTTAATTCTTTTTTCCCCAACGTTACTTCTACAAGAATTATTTATAGTCAACATAGTGTTTTTTTGTTGCAATTTTTTTTTTACACAGATGATTGCCACCGCGAGATTACACCAATAACAAGAATTCGTTATTTCTTTCTTTTTTTTTTTATCTCTGAGTTTCGCTTTAAATGTCAATAGTTGCCATTATTGTTTTCACCAAACAGTCGGTCTTGAAATCCCGACATCAGTAACTATATTGTTATATAAGACAGGAAATTGTGGCGAGCCATGATCGCCTACGTCCTAAAAGAACACGGAACATAAAAAGAAAATACAGAAAAACCTCAGTTCTCGAAAAGTCTCATATGTCGAACAAATCGATTTTCGAACGGAAAATTCGAGATGAAAATACCTCGGTTATCGAACAAAATTTCGGTTCTCGAACAAGATAGCCGAATTGAGTTAATACGAACGGAATAATCCCCGAGTCGACGGCCATGTTGTATACATTCGTGTATTGTGCCGTACTTTTCTTTCCCAATTTTATTATACTGTGACTTTTTCTCTACATTGATCCTTATTGGAAAAATAATTTTGGTTTACAAATATTTCAGTTTACGAACGGCCTTCAGGAACGAATTAAATTCGTAAACCGAGGTTCCACTGTACTGTACTGTTCATATTTCTGACATTCGGTATTTTAACTATTTACATTTTTTGGACTGTTGTCCTCATCTTTGGCATATTCACGACGTTTCTGGCCATTGTACATTTCGTCCACTGGGGTAGATTGTTCTAGTTCCACGTGCCATGCCTTTTCTGGATATCTGTTTCAGTTAATTTTCTTTTGGTAACTCAATTCCCTAAGTTTTTGTTCTCTTCTGCCATGACTAGGTATTCAACTCGCAGATCTTTGGGTAAAGTCACTGGATTGCTTCAACCAACGCTTTTATATAGACACTGGGTCATGTGTTAAAGGTTTGGGTTCGAAACTCCAAAGTATATCGCCTGAAGGCCGGAGAGAACAATGGCCGAAACGTCGTGAATATGACAAAGATGAGGACAACAATCCAGACAAGGTAAATAGATGAAAATAAGGAAATTCTGTCACATAAATATTTATTTATAATATAATGAACAACCCTCGAGTGTTGTATTATCTCACATGACGAAATATTGTTTTGTACTTGTTTTTTATAAAGCCCAGATATTAAAAGCTGAAGTTCATATATATTATATATATTATGTATAATGCAATTTAGATCAGCATCTGAGTTTCAGGCAACTACGCCCGCCTGCATCAGTGAAAGAGTCCAGTTCAGTCTTGTCATGCCACGTAACCACGTGTGTTCTGTTGATTTAATTAGACCCATTTAAGAGATCTTTCTTGTGAGCTCACCATAAGATGGATACTCATGTCGGTAAATTACTTCACTTATTGAACATGATAAATCGGCGATGCTTTGAGGCTGTCAGCAATGGTCAAATGGACACGCCTACATCGTAGATCAGTTTCTGGGCGCCAAACTTGGACCAACGCCCGCCTAGTTTGACGCACTATCGGTACAGAAATCAGCAGACCCCACTAAGACCCACAGTACATATTAGAGAAAATGTGATCCCTAACGTCTCAAGATGGATCATTGAGAATCGTTTGCAGTAGGACTCCTGGTATCCGTGCGTTTGCCAGGTAAATAGGTAACAGTTCCATCGTACATTTCTCCAGTGATGTTTCCAGAGCATGAGCTGAAGGATAAAAATAGTCTGTACGTTACAAAGATCTATTTGAACTGCTAGGAAAACTCGTTCTGTTTTGAAGAAATAGTTGAATGATACGTGACATTTACATGGAACAAATCGCCTGCAGCTCGATACAAAAAATGAACAAATACACTAAATGGAAAGGAACTATGACAAGTTTTGACTTCTCAGCAGAGTGATTTAACTTAAACAGCGAGATACTCTTAAGTGAGCCAGACGTCTCACAAGGGTTTATTATTGTCGGACACAATCTTAGATTCACATAAAGTACCATATTTATTGGAAACGCAGAAAAACAAACCCCGCAGTAGCTCTTAGGAAAGCGAGATGAAAAGACTATCAATAAACAAGAGGGACAGACCAAGATATGAGCTATGAATTGTAGACATCTAAATGTAATGGAATAACCTGTCACCCTCATGAGTGACTACACTATAGGTTGTAACTATCTGTAGGTCAACAGACTACAGAGCCTAACCGAAATCTTTTCGGCTAGACGGTCGAACTCTCTGCCTCTGAGCAGCGAGGAAACAGGACGATGCTCAGCCGAAGGACAGTCTCTCGTTCGGGGAGGTTGACCAACCCAATCCCGTTATGTGGGTTCTACGGGTATTTTTTGGCCGAGCCTACGGGCTCGGAGAACCCACGTTAAACCCGGCCTTGTGCCACACGCAACCCTTGGGGTGGGGTGTTTAGACTAGCTGAAATCTTTTTAGCTATAATCTCTGCCTTCGGGCAGGGAGGAACCCGGGCAAGGCTATGCTGAAGGGCAGAGTCGCGTCTGGGGTGGTAGACCGACTCGACCCCGTTTTATACGGGGTCTACGGGGAACTTTTGCCCGAACCTACGAGGTCGGATACCCCAAGTTAAATTCGGCCTTGGGGAAACAGCTACCCTACACCGTTTTAAACGGGGTCTATGCGGAATTTTTGGCCAAGCTTACGGGTTCGGATTACCCACGTAAAACTCGGCCTTGTTACATCTACCCGGACGAGACTATGCCGAAGGGCAGAGTCACGTTCGGGGAGGTAGATCGACCCGATCTCGTTTATGCAAGATCTACGGGGACTTTTCGGCCGAGCCTACAGACTCGGGAACCCCACATTAAATTCAGACATGTGCCGCATTTGACTGCATGGGGCAGTTGCTAGATACCGTCTGGCTGGTATCTGTTGAGTACGACTCACTTACTACCGACCTTCCAATAGTAGCACTCACTACTGGATTGACTTGCGACGACCTTGCGCATAACTGTT